TCCTCTTTGTATTTTCTTTTAATACATCAAACCACATTTGCATGGCTCAAATATTAACCAATGTATGACCAAATTACCCAGAGCTATCCCCTTAAGGACAATTACTTACCTCTGTCAGCAATGACTTACCTCTCTTATCTCTATTGATAGCCAGTAGTTCCATGGATAGGGGTGGTGTTTCATGCAAAACTCCCCAATCCATGTCGGAATAAGCTTGTCTTTGATTTGTAGAAAAGAACATGATATGATACTCACAGAGCACATATGTCCAGCTGCCCTGATAAGTACAGAAGGCACCATTTCCTTGTAGTCATCCATGGCTCTGGCTCTTTCATTCTTTATATCCACTATTCCACAATGAGGTTTGGGAAGACAGGATGTGATATATATGTCCCATATAGTGTTGGGGGATGGTTTTGTGCACTATGTATTCAGGTACTGATTTCTGTGCCCAGTGTCTGGGTACATTCCAGACATTGGCATTGTCATGATTATTGGACCTTTTGTTTCTCAATGATGTGTAAAAATTGTTTTCCATCACCTTTGATTGGATAATAAACAGTTGATCACTGAATAACTTAGCAGGAGATGAGAGGTGTGTTGGTTTGAATATTCTTGGTACAGAGAGTGGTATGCTTAGAAGGTATGTGGTCTTCTTTGACTATGTATGGCCTTGGTGGAGGAAGTGTGTAACTGTGAGGTAGGATTTGGGACCATTCTGATAGATGACTATGGGACAATCTGCTCCTAGCTTCCTTTGGATGAAAATGGAAAACTCTTGGCTCCTTCTTCAGCACTGTGTCTGCATGGATGCTGCCAGGCTTCCTTTCATGATGATAATGGACTGAACCTCCAAATCTGTACTACAGCCCCGATTACATGTTTTCCCTTAAAAGAGTTGCCTTAGTCATGGTGTCTCTTCTCAGCAATAGAAACCCTAACTAAAGCAGGAGGGCAGGACTTCCAGTCCTAGAAGGATCACAGACAGAGAAAGAGAGGGAGACAGAGGAATAGGATATTTCCCATGATCAGGTCATGAGGACACATATGAAGCAGAAGGCAAGACTCAATGGCAAGTAGTCAGGCACATTGCTGGATAGTAGTTTGAGTCAGCATGATCTGGTTAGAACATAGGACTATCTGCCCATCTATAGTGCTTGTTGTGTCATTTCTGTGGGACAATGAGGGCTATAGAATATGCCCCCAGAATACACTTATATTTAACACCTATCATGTTATGCACAGAACTGCAACATAGACACATATACAAACTTAGAAAGAACCAGGCTTAGAGCCTGAAAAGTCCAGGGTGGAAAAAGTCAACAAGTACTCACCTCTTGCAGTAAGTTCTGTGGCAACTGGCAGGCTGCTCTGTGAGCAGAGTAGAAAAAAAAATCTGACTTGCTACATGAGCAGGGAAATAACCAAAACCTAAGAATATAAGTCTTGGCAATTACAGAGATCGTAAAGTGGCAACTTCTCCCAAGCACTACAGGGTTTCAGAGAAGCTTGAGAGGATAGAGAGAGCTAGATGGCCTAGGTAGACATGCATATGATGGACTGCTTGAGCCTCATGTGCATTCTTAGCACGCTACCATTCACAGGCCACATCTCCCCCTGACAGGTGGTGTAGCTACACACTAGAGCCCACTGTCCTGTGGAGGAGGGCTTGCTGCCCCCTATACCTGGCACATCCACAGCACCAAATTTTAACCCACATGAAGTGGTGGCTGGTGATGCTGCCCATCAGAAGCATTACAAGAGGCATGCCATTAGCCTTGGCAGGCCATGAAGGAGGGGTTGAGTTTCCAGTGAGATACAGCTCCCACCTGATACCCATAAATTTGAGACTTGACTGATATAAGTCACAGTCATATGGGAACATCAGAAATGCCTTTTCCCTGCGGAGTGAAAGACATGTTTATGACAAGCCATAGCATGAGGTCTGAGCTGACACAGAAAAGAGAGAGAACCCAAGAAAAACTCTGATCACAGCCAAACTTCTGATCACGAAAAAAGATATTTGGAATTATGCTTAAGTGCTAAAAAGGAAAAGAACCCATGCATGAAAAAACTCAGAGACAGGTATAAGGAATTTGAAATATTAAACAATATTAAAAGGAATACCACAATTAAGGATGAGAAAAACAATAAAATGGGACATTTGAACCCTAGATAATGCCATCTTGAATGGCTAAAAGACAGAGACATAAGAAGAGACAAATGACTTAATTAAGATTGGCACATTAGCAGTTAGGGTTATTATGATGCTAGTATTTCTTAGATTAGTCTTAATCATCATAAAACTTGTTGTGCCTTCTCAAAGAAATGAATTTTATGACACAAGAAAACGAGACAAACAGAAAGTAGAAACAAGCCTTAGAAGAAAATCAGAGAAACTTATACATAAGAAACAGAAAGATGAGCCGGGTGGTGGTGGCGCATGCCTTTAATCCCAGCACTTGGGAGGCAGAGGCAGGTGGATTTCTGAGTTCAAGGCCACCCTGGTCTACAGAGTGAGTTCCAGGACAGCCAGGACTACACAGAGAAACCCTGTCTCGAAAAAACAAAACAAAACAAAAACAAAAGAAACAGAAAGATGAGTTCAAGGTAGGCAAGTTATTGGTTGGGCATTCCCTCAGTATCTGCTCCATGCCCCTTCCCTGGTGTTCTTACCCTCCATTGGATTTCCTACTTCTCTACATCTCCAGGAGGAAACAGAGAGCTGGGATTAGGGAGGCACCCAAGAATCAATATGGGTGTTCTTCGCTGTGACTCAAAACGCTGGGAATATGGAATTGAAGAGGCCACCTCCTGTAAACACTCAGGAATCCCAGTGGTGTTATAGGGATACTAACCTACCCACCAAACTTTCAACCCAAAATTTATCCTGTCTACAAGAAATACAAGGAGAGGGGATGGAGCAGAGACTAACAGAATGGCCAAGCAATTACCAGCCCAACTTAAGACTCATCCCATGGCAAGCACCAATCCCTGACACTATCAATTTTACTCCAAGGTGCTTGCAGAAAGGAATCTAGCATGGCTTTCTTCTGAGAGGTTCTTCCCAGCAGCTGACTCAGACAAACACAGACACCAACAGCCAAGCAGTAGATGGAGCTTGGGGACTTTTATGGAAGCATAGAGAGAAGGGCTGTAGACTCTGATGGGGATAGGATCTCCATAGAAAGACCAGTAGAGTCAACTAATCTGGACCCCTTGGGGCTCTGAGAGATTGAACCACCAGCCAATGAACATACATGGGCTGAACGTAGGCCTCCCATCACATATGTAGCAGATGTGCAACTTAGTCTTCATGTGAGTCCCAAACAACTTGAATGGGGGCTGTGCCAAAAGCTGTTGCCTGCCCATGGAATATGTTCTTCTCACTGAGCTGCCTGTCTGGACTCATTAGAAGATGATGTGTATGGCCCCACAGAAATTTGATATGCCAGGATCTGGAGATACTGAGGCTGTCCCTACCCACTCAGAGAAGAAGGGGAGAGGTATTAGGGGAAGGATTGTGGGAGGGGTAACCAGGAGGAGGACAGTAAGCTAAATGTAAAGTGAAGCAATTAATAATAGTAACTAATGATAACATATGTTTTGTTAAGAAATACAAAGTTTTCATTTAGAAGTATGCCTAGAAACACCCAGTAGAAAGGGGAGACAGAAGAATTCTGGACTGAATCAATTCACACAAATGCTATCAACCACAAAGACATCATCTGGGGGAGAGGATGCTGATGGAGGATCTGAAGATCCCTGGAACATAGATGGCATTTACTGAGATTAAGAAGACAGGAGAATAAATGGACTTAGTGCCTTGCTTAAAGAGACTACTTATGAACAGAATCCACTGTCTGCTTACTATAAACTGATTGTCTCATAATTTTAACCCATGCCATGATTTAATTCATACATCAGAATTCAGATTGTGAAGGTATAGCAGGATATGTTGTTGGGTTTGAGCAAAATTGTCTGATGGTAAAGTGAATATGATCCTTTTATAAAATAGCAATTCTAGCTTAGAGAATACTATCCTTGCTTTCTTTTTATAAATAGAAGATTTGGCTTAATTAGTAATGTTCAATTTTTCACAAAGAAGGAAATGCTGCCTCAGAGGCTGCCACACTTTGATTTCACATATTGACTTATGTAACTGGTTACATAAACATGTCTGAAATATCTCAGGCCTAAGCAAGATTTGCCTGTGTTTTCATTTGTCACTCTTAGCTTGCTATAGGAAATGTTTGAAAAGAAGACAGCAATTGTGTGTATTTTTCTATTCTATGCCAATTTAATCCAGAATTTCTTGGGTCAAAAGATGCTAACTTATACTTATTGAAACATATTTCAGTATGGTTTTCATATAATATCTAATAAAAATATTTATATTTCTCATATTTTATAGTAGGTATGTAAGGTCACATTTTTTTAAATTCAGCACTGTAGCTACATTAGCAAGTTGGGCCTTTTTTCATTCTTTATTTATCTAAGTCTAAACTTTAATCCAGAATTATCCTTTAACATCATTTAAACAACACACAAAACAGGAATCACTGCATGTTAGTGACTGGGGATGCTGCTTTTCGTGACTCATTAGAGAGATTAAATGCAAGGATAATATGTAAAATATTACAATAATTACTTGCTTAATAATTTATCAAAATATCTAAGGAATTAGAGTGAAGAATATATAATCATAAAGGGCTGGGATCTCTGACACGCTGATGAAGGGCACAAACTAGCAGATAAAATAGAAGTTAATACTGAGATTCACAGTACAATAGAATGACAACAGTTAGCACCATCCTGTGTAACTGAATTTTCTTTAAATAATCATAAGTGCTTTTAACACACACACATACACACATAATATTGCAATGATGTTAAGTAATGGGAGGTGTTGTTAACCTGCTTTGGATAATTATTTCACAGTAAATATATATGTATATTTCAAAGTAAATAAGTGTGTGTATTAATCCGGACACTGTAACTTAGATATACATATAATTTTACTTTGCAATTTTGTCAATAAAACCAAAGGTAATTAAAAAACAGAAAAGCAGACAGATCAGGGGAACATCTCATACAATGATGTGAGTAAATGAAATGTTGAGGAGTTGGCAGAAAAGCTCCATATGTGCCCAAAAGGGTCACTGTATTGTCCCTAGCATGTCGAAAATTCCCAATGAAAGTTCATTTTATGACAGAATACATGGATGAATACCCAAGGATATACGTGGAGCACTGTTTTCATATGCATAACAATTTGCTTCCCACTTAAATTCTGTGGGCATCGCTTCCACTTGTAGAACTTCCCAGGTGTACGAGTAATGGTGCATAACAATGAAATCAAATGCTCATGGAGAATGTTGGATTTATAAGTATATTTTCTTCATCTGACAAACTGACTTCTGTTTCTGATTGCAAGGGATATCATTCCAGCCCCATCCAGCATTCAGACGATAATTTAATGTAACACATTTTTCATTATCACTGTTGGGCTCACCTTTGTGCCAGAATCTGAAAAGAAAGAAAGAGAATCAGGGTGTTTCCTACAATAACACTTGAAAAAAAGGGAGCAAGAAGAAGCAAGCCTGAGGATGAGATTGGAATTTTTGGAGATCAGATTCAAGAACATACAAATCAAGTGTTCTCCATCACCCATATCTCATACTTACCTGGATAACAGGGACCACAACCTTCAATGTTCTTTTAGATTATTACTTAACTGTTCTTCCAGCACACATCCAGGGGGCTATTTCTTCATTCCTAGGTCTTTGTACCAGGGGAAGTCAACCCACTGCTCTTATTTAGATGTTGAAAAGGTCTTTTTATTCTCATGTTTTAATAAAGCTTTTCCATTAAACAAAAGAACTATTTTAGAGACTGAAGAACTAGTTGAAATCTCCAGATAATCTGGTTATTTCTGTCCTCAAGAACAAATAATTTAAAATTCTGCAGTCATAGTTGCCTTCTCTGAAAATTGAGAACAATAACCTCACTATTATTGCAGGATATTTGATCACATTGTGAGCCCCAAGATTGTAAACTGGAAAAAAAACTGTCTAGCTGCAGTTTGTCTCAGTATTTAATTCAAGAGGTTTCCATTTATTATAAGCAAGTTGTGGTATGGCTCAGTCCTAGCACACATCTTCAGTCCAAAAACTTTCTGTAATCAGGATTAAATAAAGTCAACCATAGAGAGGTAGAGAAGTAACCAGTTCACAATCAGTGAACATAAAAAGTACCATTGAGAGTGAGAGGCAGTCTAGAGGATGGATAGAGGGATGCAAAGAAAGTAAAGAAGGAAAATTGAGTTTGCAGGGTATTTAAGACAGCATGGATAAGGGACATTCTCCTTCTGGGACATGGGCTGAGTTAGAAGGTAAGATGAGGGCTTCTCTTCCTCTCTGAGATAGCAAGATTTTATCTTAGCATCAATTTCTGAGTATTCATTGGTAAAATCAAATGTCAGGTTTGTTTTAAAACACAACACACTACATATTTCTCAAATCAGATATAATAACATAATGTGGCAACATACTAAGGTTGTAAGATTTTTTTAAATACAACAACATCAGATTGAAGGCCTTTGATTTATAAGAAATAATCAGATATGATTTTCACACCAATTTTTCTTCTAAAGATATAAATGGGGGCTAGACAGGGAGATCGGATATTAAGAGTGCTTGCTGCAGCCTGGTCTACAGAGTGAGTTCCAGGACAGCCAGGGCTACACAGAGAAACCCTGTCTCAAAAAAAAAAAAAAAAAAAAAAGAGTGCTTGCTGTTTCTCAAAAAACTTTGAGGGTTCTGTTCCCAGAACTCATATTGTCCAGGTTTACACCTGTATCACCCAGCTCCAGGGGATTCAACATGCATGTCTGTGGGCTCCACAGACACCGAAATACACATAATAGTCCCTTACTGAAACACACATAGAGACATATTAATTAATATGAATTAAAGTCTATTTTTAATCATATAGACTGAAAAACTGAAAGCAAGATGAAACACACCTAGGTGTAAGGACGTTGAATGGGTGCCCTGGTTTCTTATCTTCTACATTCTCCAAACTGAATTTCCTCATCTCTACTGGGAGTATCAATAATGTGTGTCTCATAGGACTCCTGTGATGAATAAATGGGCGAGTAAAAATGATTTCATTTCCAGCAGTAACACCAGGAGAAAGCTAGTTTACTTTCATAATCAACAGCTAGAACACCCAAATTTGTCTCATGCTACAGAGCCCAGGATTCCTCTATTTAGGTCTAGACTCACGTGGCACTCTCATTGTATGGTGTCTGATCAACCCATTGCCATTCTCGTTGACCTGAATCCCTCAACCCTATAAAATAAGCAGCACGAGTGTTCAGGATGTTGGTGATGAAGTCCTAAGGGGAAACAAAGATACAGCTTTCAGCCTGGACTAAGTGATTCATTTCCTGTTACAGAATTTCTTATAATACCTTTTAAAAATTATTTCAATGATACAAAATTATAGATTTCAGTATGATGTACATATGCAAATATATAATAATGAAATCCTACTTCATTTCTCTAGGCCTTTAAATAGTTTTCAAATTTGAGATTAATATTAATAACTGTACACAGTAGAGGTACACTGTGATATTTTGACCAATTTTTTCTGGTCACACAGAGATGAGAATACAAAGGATCAAGAAATAAAAGAGCACCCACACACACACACCTCCAGAAGCACATGTCATCTTCTCCACCCTGGAGTGTATGTCTTCTTTCCTTCTTCAAGAATATACTCCTTGCCACCAGGAGTGGACTTCCCCCACCCCGACCCCCAACCCTGCATCGAAGGCCCAGAAGTACACATCTCCTCCAGATTATCAGGACAGTGTCATTCATGACTCATGTTTTGACAACTCTGGAAAACAATCTCTTTCCATGATCATAATGAATACTCATCTCAGACTCACTCCCCTCTTTTGTTCACCAAAACCATTCTTGATAATTATGAATGAGAGAATTAGATACATCTAATCATTCTCCATTCATAACTTCAGAAAATTCATTTCTGATGGCTCGTCATGACACTTCCAGTTTGGTCCTGTTTCACTGATTCCTTCTATGTAAGGTACTTGATACTACAGGAAGCATTAGAGTGCAGAAATCACAAACTGGTCTTTCAAGCAGAAACATTTCATCCTTCCTTCATCCTCACATGCTGCATTTCTCATGCCATGGTCCCTTGGGGTTTAGTTCCACTGAAACACGACCAAGGTGTGGAAGGCAAAGGCTAAAGCCACCATTCCTGCATATCTGCTGGAAAGCCTTCTGCCACAGCACTAACACCCAAGTCAAAAACCTCCCTCTTAGTAGAAACAGGTAGACAGCATGCTGGGATCAGGACCCAGTCTCTCCCAGAATGCACCTGTTCTTTCTGGCTATGGATCACCAGCAGATGAGCACCCATTTGAGAGCACTTTTCCTCACTCTTCATCCAAGATGCTGCTGAGTCAGTTGAAGTAACTGGGAGAACCAAATAGCAGTGGGAACCAAGTAGCTTCCAATCCTTTGGGCAACAGCTCCAGACTTTGTCTTTGGGGGAAGAAGGAAATGTAAATGCATTGTAATAAAGTAATCCTAAAAGCTGCTTCTGTGCAGAGACCACACGAAAGCTGGGACTTCCAACTGCTATCAGATGCCACTAGAGTCCCTTACCTTCAGATGCCAAGATGCTCAAGTCTGCCTCCATTATCTCTAATGTCGGGGCCCTTAGTCAAACTGGAGTACGGTCAGGAAAAGCAAGAATAATGGAGTGGAAAGAATACCCAGACTCTGGGTATTAAAAGTAAATCATCTGGGGTCTCACAAAAAATATAACAAAGATTCGAGAAAAATATGTGAAATAAAAGGAAGCCAAGGATATGTAAGATTCTGCAGAGTCTTACCAACCTAAGACAGAAGTGCATTGCCTTTTATAATGCATATTCCTCAACAGATTAAAAAAAGCATTCTTGTCAGAATGACCTAAGACAGGCTCTTGTTTGTGAAATAAAAAATGGGGAGAGATGGAGAGCTTTTGGGGCTCCATGGCAAGAATCTGACATGGGCCAAAAACAAGAAAATGGGCTGCTTGGCAGGAATATGATATTGGCCAAGGACAAGGAAATGGACTTCAGGCAGAAATCTGACATAAGGCTAGAACAAATAAGTAACTTCAGGTAGGAATCTAAATCTTAGGCTAGAACAAAGAAGTAATCCCAGGCAGGAATCTAAATCTTAGGCTAGAACAAAGAAGTAATTTCAGACAGGAATCTAAATATTAAGTGAGAACAAGGAAGTAAGCTTCAGACATGAAAATGACTTTAGGCTAGGACAGGGAAGTAGGCTCAGATATTGTGGTCATCCTGATAAGCCCTTAGAAACAGTGATCACTGAACTTTGTTTATTGCCTTGCTTGTTCTTTGACTATTTGCACCTAATATATTGCTAGTGCCTCAACCTAGAACTGACCTTGATATTTGCATGTAATTAAAATGATATAAAAGCAAAAGGGAGGAGGGGGGATGTGATGGGGGTTTCTAGGGAGGGGAAATGGAGAAAGAGAATGACATCTGAAATGTAAATAAATAAAATATCCAATAAAAAAAAAAGAAAAAGAGACAGAGAGTGGAAAGGAGAATGTAGTGGGGCAGAATGAATGAAGGCTGACTGAGTTTTCTGATCATAAAATAATAAAAACAATTATGGTAACTTTAAAAAATTAATGCATAAGAAAGGTAAAAATTGCAAATAAAAATCAAATGTATTTAAACAAAATTCTTTGTATCTGTAACTATGTGTTTTCCTCTTTCGTAATAGAAAAAGATTTAAGAGTTAATATTTTTTAAATGTAGTGGATATGGTATAATGTAGGTGACAGGGATATCACTTAACTGGAGAAACAAATATCATAGAAATTTAATTAAATAACAGAAACAAAACAGACACAATGAATGAAAGAATACATGAAATAAAGAAAATTTCTTACCGTGACCTTTAATCTGACTATAATAAATAAAAGATTTGTAAAAGGCATGAAAAAATAAAACAAAGAATTGAGAAACACATTGTAGCAGATGTACAGAGATATATTCACAAACACATGCATATCCCTATGTGTTTAAATGGAAACCAAGAATATCAAAGATATGGGAAAACATCAGACAATGGGAAGAGATGGGAGACCAAACGGCCAAAGCATGTAGAGCTAAGTGAGTTACTACGAAATTACATTTTTAATGGTAAACATAAACAAGGCTGAGAAAAATAAGAATATTGTATACCACCATGAAGAACTTGGATAGATGCAGACACATGCATTATTCTGCCTCTTGAAAAACCTAACCCAATATCCCACCATAGTAGGGCTACATATGGCAACATCCCTTCAAAAATTATAGTATAGAAAAATGGAGAAAAAAATCAGGGTTTTTTATTTTACATTTAATTAAAATATAATTATATCATTTTTCCTCCTCTTTCTTCCAATCCCTACATGTCTTTTTCTTCTTTCTCAAATTCATGACCTATTTTTATTGTTATAAGACCTACAGGAAATGAGTAATTGCCAAGAGGGAAAGTTAATTTTTTCCAGGGATGAGTCTCCAATACCTGTGGTTAGCCTTTTTTAAAGGTTACTTTTATCAAAAAGACATGGCATAGCAAGATGCAATAAGATTATACATAAACACTCATATCAAGTCTGATCAATGCAGCTCAGTAGGGGGAAAGGGGTCCCATGAGCAGAGGAAGCCTGCTTTATCTGAAAGGAAATAGAGGAGCAGTAGATCTTGGAAATAAGGGAAGTGTTGGGACAGGGATAATGGAAGATAGACAGGCTTCAGTTGGGATATCTTGTGTGAGAGAAGATTAAATATTTTCTAAAGAAATAAAAGATTGAGATGATAAAAAGAAGGTATGCTTTTAAATAGCCTACCTGCAGTAGACAATCAAGTGAAGTCAACAGTCTATAAAACTTTTATAATTTACACCCTGTGTACAGTGTGATTAGACTAGCATTTCATATCTGTCATCCACATTCTAATAAAAAATTCCTCAAATTTTAATAGAGAAATATCCTATAACATACTAGATCAGTCACCCTGATAATCAGAATTATTTAAAACAAGGATATTCTGAAAACATATCCCAACCAAGAAAAGACTAAAGTGATACGACATCTAAATACACTGTGGTGTCCCAGATGAATGTCTGGTAATCATGAACTTCAATCAGTGTTGAGATCAGTATTCACTCCTTAGTTGTAGCAACATTTGCTTACATAAGATGCTCATATAGGGGACAGTGTATGTGTACATGGAGTTACAATGGTATCTTAACAGCATCATGGTATTATATATGGTATTACATATAGAGAGAGTACATATATAATATATATTATGTATATATAAACTGAGATGAGGACTTCAAGTACTATATTGAATAGGTAGGGAGAGAATGGGAAGTCTTGTCTAGTCCCTGATTTTACTGGGATTGCTTCAAGTTTCTATCCATTTAGTTTGATGCACTGAAACTAATAGAAGAGAAGATGGGGACGAGCCTTGAATACTTAAGAATAGCGGAAAAGTTCCTGAACAGAACACTAATGGCTTATGCTCTAAGATCAAGAATTGACAAATGGGACCTTATAAAATTGTAAGGCTTCTGTAAAGCAAAGGACACTGCCAATAGGACAAAACGGCAACCAACAGATTAGGAAAAGATCTTTACCAATCTTACACTCGACAGAGGGCTAATAACCAACATGTATAAAAAACTCAAGAAGTAAGACTCTAGACAAGCAAATAATCATATAAAATGGGGTACAGGGCCTAGCTGGTTTGCTCCTGTGAAGACACCATATCTTAAACCATCTTAGAGCAGCAGGTAAGGACCCTCCCCCACAACCCTAAGCCACAGATCTACGACTGGGATCCTGGGACACTCAAGACCCATCACCCAGCCAAACCCCACCCCTCTAGAATACCACTACCCTTCCACTCCTCCCTTGGTCCTTTTGGCTGGGGCAGACACCTAGATTGTCTGCTCTGGTGAAGACACCATATCCTAAACCATCCTTGAGGAACCACTGCACTCAGAGCAGCAGGATTTCAGGATCCCAGAGGCAGCCTGTGTCCCAGGAGCTCTTCCACCCAAGAGCTCAAGATCATGTGATCACAGAGACAGCAGGACTCTGAAGAGTTCTAACACAAGCAAGATAACTAGAAAGACAGGCTCCAGTCAGAGACAATGAGTGTAGGTAGCACTAGAGATAACTAGATGGCAAAAGGCAAGTGAAAGAACATAAGCAACAGAAACCAAAGATACCTGGCATCATCAGAACCCAGTTCTCCCACCATAGCAAGTCATCAATACCCCATCACACCAGAAAAGCAGGATTCAGATTCAAAATCGCTTCTCATGATGATGATAGAGGACTTTAAGAAGGACATAAATAACTCAAAGAAATACAAGAGGACACAGGTAAACAGGTAGAAGCCCTTAAAGAGAAAACACAAAAATCCCTTAAAGAGTTGCAAGAAAACACAGCCAAACAGGTGAAGAAATTAAACAAAACCATCCAAGATCTAAAAATAAAAGTAGAAATAAATAAGGATATCTCAAAGGGAGACAACCATGGAAACATAAAAGCTATGAAAGAAATCAGAAGTCTTAGATGCAAGATGCATAGATGGATAGGCAGGACTCATATAGTAAAATTTACCATCTTGCCAAAAGCAATCTACAGACTCAGTGCAATCTCCATCAAAATTCCAACTCATAGAGTTAGAAAGAGCAATTCTCTAATTCATTTGGAATAAATAAATAAATTATATATATATATATATATATATATATATATATATATATATATATGTATATATATGTATATATATATATATATATATATCTCCAGGACAGCTAAAACTACTCTCAATGATGAAAGAACATCTGGGGATATCACCATTCCTAACCTCAAGCTGTACTATAGAGCAATAGTGACAAAACTGCATGTTATTAGTACAGAGACAGGAAGATAGATCAGTGGAATAAAATTGAAGACCTAGAAATAAACCTACACACCTCTGGTCACTAGATTTTTGGCAGAGAAGCTAAAAGCATCCAGTTAGAAAAAGACAGCATTTTCAACAAATGGTGTTCGTTTAACTGATGGTGAACATGTCAAATAATGCAAATTGATCTATTCTTATCTTCTTAAAGCTCAAGCCCAAGTGGATCAAGGACCTTCACATAAAACCAGGTACAGTGAATCTAATAGAAAAGAAACTGGGGAAGAGCTGAGAACACATGGGCACAGGGGAAATTTTTCTGAACAGAACACCAATGGCTTATGTTCTAAGATCAAATATAGACAAATGGGACTTCATAAAATTGAAGAGCTACAGTAAGGCAAAGGACACTGTCAATAGGACAAAACATCAACCAACAAGTTGGGAAAAGAACTTTACCAACCCTGTATCCAATAGAGTCTAATATCCAAAATATACAAAGAACACAAGGAGCTAAACTCCAGAGAACAAAATTACCCTTTT